GGGCAAACTAATCCCTGTAAAACACCTAAAACGTAGCGGGGGGGGGGGCGGCAATTCCCTCCATGATGATTGAAAAAGTGATGATTCAATTAAAGGCGTGGGGAGGGGGTTGGGGGGGGGGCGGCAGCCCCCCCATGATGATCGAAAAAGTGATGATTCAATCAGGGACAAAAAGTCTAAAAAATAGCGGGGGGGTTGGGGGGGGGGCGGCAGCCCCCCCCATGATGATCGAAAAATTAGGGGCAAAGAATCTAAAAAGTAGCGGTCGCATGATGATCGAAAAAAGTGATGATTCAATTAGGGGCAAAAAGTCCAACAGATAGCAGGGGGGTTGGGGGGGGCGGCAGCCCCCCCCCATGATGATCGAAGAAGTGATGATTCAATCAGGGGCAAAAAGTGTAAAAAATTGCGGGGGGGTTGGGGGGGGCGGCAGCCCCCCCCATGATGATTGAAAAAGTGATGATTCAATTAGGGCCAAACAAATATAAGAAAAAGCAGGGGGGTCATCAGTTCCTCTGCGGCAAGGCCTCATGGTACAAGTGAGGATTCAAATACGGGCAAACTAATCCCTGTATAACGGCACCCCCTCCCCATGATGATCGAAAAAATAGGGGCAAAGAATCTGAAAAGTAGCTGTCGCATGATGATCGAAAAAGTGATGATTCAAATAGGCGTGCATTTTAATCGAAAGGGGGGTGGCGGGGGGCCCAGAGAGGAACTTGCGATGCTGAGGATGCTGGAAGCCAACTGGGAAAGCATCAGGATGCGAAAAGCCAAAGTCAGAAAGCCGCCAAAAGCCAAAAAGCCAAAAAGCCAAAAAGCCAAAAAAGCCAAAAAGCCAAAAAGCCAAAAAGCCAAAAAGCCAAAACGCCAAAAAGCCAAAAAGCCAAAAAGCCGAAAAGCCAAAAAGCCAAAAAGCCAAAAAGCCAAAAAGCCAAAAAGCCAAAAAGCCAAAAGCCACCTGCCGCAGCGGAACTGGCAATGCAGAGGATGCGAAAAGAGAGGAACTGTGAATGCAGATGATGCGAAATGAAAAGACACGAAAGCCACAGAAACCCACGTAAAAGCCACAAAAGCCAAAAAGCCGAAAAGCCACCGACCCTGAAAAACAAAAATGATTCCTAAAAAAAAACGAAAAAAATCCTAAAAAAAATGGCCCTCCAAACTCTTTTGCCGGGGCGGAAGTGCATCCATTTTGACCCGCGTGGAGGACCTCAAAAAGCGCTCCTGCGTAGGCTCCGTGCCTTCATCCACTTCCAAAGGGGGCGTCCAGTTGTTCCAAGGCTGCTGAGGAGTCTGAGGCGTCTCGGAGGCTGAAACTGTCACGGTGGAGCTGGTGCGTTCCTCCGTCGCAGGGTCAGCTTCTGCCTTCCCAGGGTGCTCTTTCGTCTGTTTGAATACAAGTTTGTCACCCCCAAAGGGGTTCCCGCACTTGCAAAGCAAATCCACACATTTGCCCAACATTCTGGAAAAAGGACAACCCGTGCCTCCCTGCGGCTCTGCCAGCGGGCAACAGCGTTTTCCCGAAGCCGCAGCGGCTCCATGGAGGACTCCGAGGACACATGTTCCACCCGCACCGGTGACATGGGCGAGCGCGCCCACGCTGGCACGGGGGCCTCTGGCTCCACCTCCTCCTCCTCCTCCTCCTCCACTTCCCCCTCTGGAGCCTCCTCCGGCTCTGGCGCCTCTGCCTCCTACATCTGGACTTGCGCTTCAAAGTTGAGCCATTGGGCAATGAAACTGCCACTTCCGTTTCACGAAAACCGTAAAACTTGAGGAAAAATGAACAAAGCCCTCTCCTCCGGCTCCGACTGCCAATTTCCCGCGCTCGCAGAGCTCTGGGAGCTACGCTCGGCGCGGCTCGCGGCCACGGTTCCAGCAGTCAGCGACACCGCACGCCCGTAGAGCGTGTCCGCAAGGCGGCACATCACGAAGGGGTGAGGCAGAATGCTCAACAGCGCCCGCAGCTCGTCCTCCGCCTCCTCAAAGTAAGACAGTGAATACAAAAACGACAAAAACCAGATGCCAACCTGTCAAACTGGCACCTTCCTCGGATTGCAGCTTCTCGTGAATCGATGCTGGCTAGGTTTGCGCTTGTTGTACGCTGCTGTGTGGTCCAGAGTGGTTGCTGCTGCTTGCCATGCGTGCTGCTGCAGAATATGTTTCGCAGTTTCGCGCTGTTGCGTTTATCAACGTGCCTTTCGCAGCGTGCCGTGCCCAAACGCTTACAATCGGACGGATGCAAACTTAGGCCCTAATGACAATCGCGCAAAGTCCCTGGCCTCAAAAGTACAAAGCAACCAGGCACGTTAACATGCATCTTGTACCCTCTTCTTCAACACTCTGGCAACACAAAAGGCAATTTTGAATGGGGTTCAACAGCGTAGGTTTCCCTTCTGAAGGGATTCATTGTCTGCCGGCTTAAGCCAAGCTTTTCACCTGGGCTTGCGGCTCTCGCTGGGCAAGTCTTCAAGCGCGGCACATGTGTATCCGTTTGCCTTCAAGTTCCCCTTTCAGTCCGAGTCTCTTTTGGGAATGATCATGATCCAAGCCTGGTGTTAAAGGGATCTACCCAACGCGTAAAGAATCAAAAGGGCAGCGGCAAGTCTTTGAGGCTGCTCCGAAACTATCATGGCAGAATAGACAGAGAAACCATGTCGGCCCAATGCAAGTTCCCACCCTCCTTTGGGGCTTTGCCGTCTTTGTGGCTGAGGGCTTCAGCTCCTTGAAGCGCTTCTGCTCGTAGAGGCGCACGCCACAGCCCAGGCGCCACACCGCGCAGGCCCGGCGCGTGCCGGACAGCGCCTCCTTGGGCCAGCGCACGTGCGAGGGCAAACGCCCCTCCAGGCTGCGCATGCGCCAGGACCGCCCATCCCAAGCCACCTAACTCCGGTCGAGGATGAAGGCAAGTCGATTGCAAAGGGTTGATCAAACTCGTGATGTGCGCGCGTGCCTGTGTGCGAGTGCGTGCGAGCAAAAGCGCGAAACATGCGAGCGCGTGCGTGTGCGGGCATGTGTGCGCACCGGCTCCCTCCAGCCCTTGCCTTGGCATGCTGCAGCAGGTGCTGGGAACAGGCCAAGTAGGCCCCAAGCTCCGGAAAGTCCAGGAAATCCACGCAGCCCAGCAGGCTGTCGCTCCCGTCGCCCTCAAGCATGGCCAGTCGCCACGCACCCAATTGCTCCCGTCTGAAATGTCCAAGAGCCCAGGCTGGAGGCATGCACTTCGATGCTAGGCTCGGGTTGACTCTCACTTGCAAAAAGGCTGGACTCTTGCTTCACTGGTTTCTCCACCACTCTGCTTCAACAATGGCTGCAGGAGATTGGGCAACAGCAGCTCACGAGTAAGACAGCATCGCCACAGAAATCAGCGCAGCTATCGCATCCTATCGCATGCTATGACGACCACACTGGACAAAGCGTCCCCTTGCCTGACCCCGACCAGCTGGAGCAGTCCCAACCTGCGCCCGACCCGCGGCGCGACAGCTTGGAACATCAGCCGTGACCTTCCCAAGTCGCGGCCGTCCAGGAGGGATCTTGCCAGCCTCACTGCATCGAAACCAACGGAGGAGTAGAAATGGGAGACGAAACAAGCCTGGCACCCACACGCCGTCGTACGCCATGCCATGACTTGCACCTAGCACAACACTGATGGCATGAATTGGAGAGAGGCAGCAAATGCAAAGTGCTACACGACAAAACCAGATCCATCAACAGGTCAATTGGCAAGTTCATCACATCGAAACTGCTGTTTCTCGGTGCATTGTTTGAAACTAGTGTGTTCATTGTATGTAACTCTGCAACCGGGGCTGGCACTATCATCTGCTCCCGGCACAAGCCGCGTCATTGGCAAAATGGAAGTTTGCGACTTGTGAAGTGCTTGGGTTAGAACATGTCAGGAAAGACCTGGCTGCTCAACAAGCTTCAATGATGCAAGTCTGAGGAATGGAATGGCAACTGCCATCAAGAGTCGGCTCTGAGCTCCTTATTGACTGCAGCTCACGCAAACACCTCTTGTGACCTGACCTTGCAGGAAATCATTGCACAGAAGGAACGCCAGGAATGCAAAGGTCGACCCTCTAGCAGCATGCGCGGGACACTCAACGTTCCTCCAGATTGCACCTTGTTACAATGATCGCAAAGCAACCTATTCAAAAGTTTAACCCTGTATTGAAGCTGCAACATGTCTTTGCTGCGAAAGACGCAAGACAATACACAATCGGGCTCAGCTGCCACCACGACGAAAAGCTGAGACAATCAGACTTGTCCACGGCCGGCAAACCTATGTACATCATGTCAACCAATGCTAGGAGCTTCTCGCTAAAGCAAGTCATCGTCCTGTTGCAGAACAACATTCCCGGTTGCAAGGCCAGTGCTGCTCGTGACTGTCAGGCACTAAGTATTCTAGTCTTGACATGTGGGCTGTGCACAGAGGTCCTCGAAAGGATTCTTCCACACCTGCAGCAGCAATACAAGCTCTCACGTCTAATTGTCAACAAACACTCCCTTGAAACTTCGCAAGTGCATTGACAATATCAGCCAATCTGAAACTTTGCCCATCCAAAAATGCCCTGGCTATATTTGGTGCTGTGGGTCTGACTATGATTCTGAATTGCAATTGGCAGTAGACCCTAAACGGTATTACCAAACTGGCCAGAAGGGAGTTTTGAGCGCTGTTCAAGCCAACGTAGAAACGAGTCAGGGCGTGCTGGCCTGCCGCCGCTCCGGTTCTTCGCGCAGTGCCAAGGGATCTGTCCAGAGGCAGCACACACTCACGGGTCGCATGCGTGATGATGATGTCCAATGGCACATGACATGTGCCCGACAACCATGTCCGAGGGGCAACTTCTGTATATCCGTAACTGTTGCCATTGCGCCAAAGGTGGTCGATTTCTGGACATCCGAGTACCAATCGCTTCAAAGGCCGGAGAATTCCCTGCATGGGCCGGCCTTCCCAGCTCGGCAGCTCTTCCAGGTAACCAGCTGCAGGCGTGTCACCTGGGTCACTGCTCAGCGAGCTGTGCATTTTGAGAGGCATGTCTCCAAATCTGGGACCCCAAAGGGGGGAAACCCTTCTTTGACACGAGCCAATTTGTGAAGCAAAGCAAACTGCCTGTTGGATAGCCGATGAAGTCTCCAAAGCGCCGCATGTGCACCTCGATGAAGAGCGTCACCTGCACTGTGGGAAGTCCGCTACTAACCTCCCCCCCCCACTGTGCGCTTTCGTGGTGCTGCAGGCATTCAAAGGCCTCCTCTGGCCGCGACAAGTACGGGAAGTCCCCACGGGATTTCAGCTCTGCAAAGCTGGCGCCACCGTATCTGGAGGAGAGAACAACAACTTCGGCCGGTTTCAAGCAAGATCGTGCTACGTGGGCTTGAAGGCGGCACTAGAACAAACCGAAGCGAGACATGAAGCGGGCCGTGCTTGGCAACCTCCACATGTGCCATGATCAAAGCTCTTTGGGCCATGGTGTGCCATAGTGTGCCATGGTGTGCCATGGTGTGCCATGGTGTCTAAAATGCCTATTGTGGGCTGATTACAATACCTGCAAACCCCACCAATACGCGGTACACATGTTTAGCTTTCTGGCCCGGGGCACTGGATTCTCAATTGACGCCGCAGTTCGTCCGGCACCATGGTCTCTCCGTTGGACTCCAAGATGGTGATCTGCGCCGTGGACTTTCAAGCCGGAACTCCAACACGAGTCGAAGTAGGCAGGGGCTCTCGGGTGTCTTGGAGGACACTGGGAGTTGCTGTTTCGGTTTGCGTCCAAATGGATGGCTTCCTTAGGGGCTTCCCTTCAAAACAGCGGCAAAAGAATACCCTCAGGACAGGCGCAGGCCATGAACACCCACGGTGTTCGTGGCACAAGTTGTCAGCAAGCTAGTAGGTGTATGGGCATGTCAACGAGGCCTGGCGATTCTCAAGCTGCAGCGATGGAACTTGGCTGCCAGTACAGTTGAGGCTCAACCTGTCACGAGCACGGCATGCAACATGATATCCAATCACATCATGCGGCTCGTCAAACAATCCGTTCTGGAACAAGTTAAGTTGAGGTGGAATGAATCTCTGCAAGCTGTTGTTCAGGGCCAAAGCCACCCAGCTTGTCTGCCAAGTTGGAACAACCTGCAGTGCCCTCTGATTCGTCACACGGCCACAAGAACCGACGAACTGCCCAGAAGCTTTCCGCCTGCTGGCCAAATCCTCGCCGCTCAGGTCATTCATCTGCGGGTCGAAAGAGTAAAAGTCCCAGAATTGCGAATATGTCTGGCGCCTGCTGGCCCACCCAGTCGATGGCCTGCTTGGCCGACATCTCCATGAAGCCTCCCTGCACTGAAATTGCGGACGTGTATCAAAATGAGATAGTTGCAAGTTGTGTGCCTTTTTTGTTGCATCGTGTCTTCCATCACAAGGATTCCAGAATGCTTTCATTCTTTAGACAAACCCATGTTGAAAATAACGCGGCTGTGACAAGAAGCATACCAGAGCAAACGAGCATGCCTACATGCATCAAGTAGAGCACGCTTGGCGCTACGTATTTCGTGCCTGCGGCAGGGTGTCTTGCATTGCCTGCTGCCAGATAGCACAAAGATTTTGCAAAGATCCCGCCAACGCCGGTATTTGGCAATGCTGCTTGCCACTGCCTGCCGCAGAAACATACTCGGCATCACTGGGATCAAGCTGCTCCACCTTATCACGCACGGATTGTCGAAAGTCCATAGCGCTCGTCATTTGAGCAGTGACACATTGCTGGAGCCGAATCCTTTCTTGCAACTGGGCCCACAACGTGCCGGCTCTTGCGGCGAAGGCGTATGTAGATGCGAAGGAATTGCACAACACCAGGGACCTGCTCAAAAATGGCGCCCGAACGCCAGCAAGCCCTTGTCAAGCACACACAATGTTCGTGTTTGTTGAAAGGTTTCAAGCACGGCCTTACGCGCGCTGGGTATCTTGCTGCATAGTGCTGCGCCAGAAACCCACCTAAACGTGACAGCGCATCTGGTCAACTGACTGCTTCCTCCTCTGGAAGCTCCGCAAAGCTGAAGATTTTTGGGTAGGCATATGACGCGCCTTGAGCGAAGAAGCCCAGAGTGCGGTGTGACTGTTCACGTGTGGAATGGCTAGTTTGGTTGAACTCAGCTAGCCTTCCCTGCACTCTCTGCCTGCTTGGTCTTGCCCTGATGGTGCTATACTGCGAGTTGTGGTAGTTCAAATGGCTTTGGGCTGTGGTTGACTTGTTCTTGAGCCGGTTTGTGCCTGGACACCAAATAAAAATGTCCTGAAGACCTTGGTCTCTTGTTGCTTCCTCGCTTTCTTGTTATTCTCATTTGTCTGCTACTCTTTGATAGTTTGGACGTTCTTGGCTCAGCTGCGAACCGATTTCAATACTTCGATGTTCTAGCCCAATTGCAGCAAGAATTGCCTGAATCATCCAATTGGAATGATGCAAAAGAACAACTATACTTATAATGTGTGAGGTCCTGGCTCATGCTGCTGATTATTTCGCCGTACTGTGCTTGCTGTGAGATGTGATTTCAGATCCCCGTGTTTTGGCTGTGTAAATTGAGGCAACTGGACGTGCGTGACTAGGCTCTCGACCGAGCCCAGCTCCTACAATGTGAGCAGCCCGGCACCTGACAGGCTCGTACTCGTAACGCAGGAGTGGTCAAGTTTCCTGTAACAAGCCTGTCCGCAGAATCAAAACGTCCAGACTGAAGATAGTGAAGAATCGTGCTGCATGGAACAGCCACGTTGCACCAACCGTCCAACAAAGCTGCAACTGGGTGGCTTCATCGCGTCCAGAAAGCGGTCGAAGCCCTGACAGATTGGCAGGTCTCTCAAAGGCCCCTGAAATTTGTCTTGTGCCGGGCAGCTGCGAATTTGCAGCCAGCCTTGCACCACTCCTCTGGGCTGGAGAAGGCAGGGTACTGCGCACTGATGACCTTTCTGAATGCAGTCACGGGACAGTCGCGACCCCGCAGCAGCATGTTCACAGTTACAAAGAACTGACCGAGAGAGGCTGGCTCACTGCGTCCAATCTGGAGGTGACCAAGCGTGCAAATCATGCATGAGCGTGTCCTACAGATCGCCAAACATCTTTGGTCTTCTGGATTCTAATTTGAATAGCAAAAGAAGGAAGATAGTCCAAAGAGGTTGCCTTTTACACGCATGTGGCCCATAGCACATGTCCGAGCGTTCGGCATAGTAGCCCTTCCTGCTCAGCGACTGCACCTGCCCACGCTGTGACACATATTCTAAATGCTTGGCAGCTTGAAAGGTCAGAAGCTCAGCTTGCCTGGTAGAAGAATGCGGCAGCAGTGCTGCTAGTCCCATGAAGAAACCTCAGATGGTGCCTATGGCGATGAAGGGCGCCGTAAGGACACAGGACTGGTGCCTCCAGGATTGGGGATCCCCGCCCATTTTAGAAAGGCCCACACTGGCAAAAGGGCGACACTTCATGGTTGACCAACTCCCTGCTGCGACATGTCCACTTTGCCCACAATCAATCGGGTATGGTTCTTCAATTCGCGACCCTTTGGTGGATGGAGATTCATATCGACCAAAAATTTTGAGGGTGGCCCCCATTCAAATCCAAGCGCCAGGCACCAAAGGAGTGGCATCGCCGGGACCGGCCTGGCAAAGCTTCGTCCCTTTCAAGATGTCCACTCGGCAGGCAGTGATTCCAAGAATAGCAACTCCGGTGCATTTACCGTTGTTTCCCTTGAGCCAAAGAGATCCGGCAAACACAATTTTGGGAAGCACGCGAACGATCCGCAACGGCGGCAAGCCACAGACACAATCAGCGAGCCTGAAAGTACGTCCATTCCAAGTGAGAGTGGGGTTGCGCGAACCTGTCACAAGCACTCATAACTTTGAGGGTTCGAACAGGTGCGCGCAGAAGAAAACACTTTACACACGTTGGCATTTATTTTACCTGGGGTCCTTTTGGTGGCCATCATGTACATTGGGACCACCAACCATGTTTGAGGTGACACGCCCCACCGGACCCGTGGAGGCGTTTCTTTTTGGAGGGTGGGGGGGGGGGGGGATGACAGCGACCATGTCCATGTGGAGGCGTTTCTTTTTTGAGGGGTGGGGGGGGGGGGGGGGATGACAGCGACCATGACCATGTTGCCAGACCCGGCAGGCGCGGCTTTGGTGTCTTCTGCGTGTGGCGGGGGGGGAAGAGGCGGGCGAACTGCGCCCCCGCAGGCACGAGTTTGGCTGGAGCAGGGCATGTGGCATGTGGCAAGCGGAGTGATGGGCACTTCAAAAGCAAACCGCATGAATACACACACAAACATCCCATCCAACAACAACAACAACAACGTCAACAACAACAACACACGCACGTCCTTACTTTCGCACTTCGTTGGGCACCCATGGAGTCGGTCTTGGAGCCAGTCGCACTGCTTATTCTGCTACGCCTGGCACGGGTGTCGTTGCCTCCTGGTTTGGATGGCTGGCGGGCACGCAGCAGATTGATCGCTGCTGGCATCACTTGAAAAATATCATGCCCAGTGAGATGAAGAGCCGCGGTCCCAGCGGCCTGATCAACAGTCGCCTGTGGACGAGAGCATACCAATTCTTGTATAGACGGTCTTTGTGTGCCTGACATATTAAACATGTGGTCTCTGTGGCAAAGAGATAAAACAAGCAGTGCCCGATGCCAGCATGTCAAAGCATGAAAGCTGCTGTTAGACACAAACGAACTTTTTGGCACCTTGCGGCATGCTCCTTCAGCAGATTTGAATGGTAAACGCGCGTTTTTGCGCGGGTCCTGCTGAGCGTGCGACCATGTTTGAGGGGCATGCATACACCGCAAAGCCGACAAAAGCTCACCCTCCGAGCAGCCGGCTTCTTCAAGGGGCAGTCACTCCGAAAAGCTGCAAAGTCGGAGACGATGCTTGAAGACCTGGGTCACGTGCCCAAATCAGTTGAAAGCGGGGCTCACTCTTTTCCACATCGAGCTCGCAAACTAAGTGGGCGAATCACTTTTTGTTTTTTGTGTAATCCATTTAAGGGCTAGCAACCAACTCCAAGAGCAAAATGTCAAAAGGGTTTAGAGTCAGGTGCTCGAATCACTCTCAAAAACTCAGTCCGGGGCGATGTCACCACCACCTCATTTCGCCCACCTGAGACAGAGCCAGACACGGTAGCCCTGGCTCAAAAGACTGGCCTTCCATCTATCAAATCATTGGATGGATTCGGAAGCTTTACAGTGCAGCTACCTTCGGAAAAGGACCTCACAGTGCTGTGAAATGGCAAAGACCGAGAGGGCAATCAGTAAGATCAATCAGTGGGAGCAATGAGTGGGAGCAATGAGTGGAAACTGCTTGCAGAAGGTTGCAGGTGGCTTCTGTCTGCTTCTTTATAACTGTTCGCTCTTGAGCCGCAAGCTCCGAAGCATTGTGGCTGTCAGGGCTGCCATGGCGACCGGCGCTTCCGCACATCGCAGGTGGAAAATCCTGCTTGGCGAGAACTTTTTCGACGAGCATTGGTCAGGATAGAAGCTTCTCTCCAGGAACGTTGCTGTACACCCAGTAGGTGACATCGCTTTTGGTGGTCCAGGACGTATCTAGGTTCTCCAGAACCTCAAGGCAACGATGAAGCAGGACGTACGATGGCACAACCCATGCCAGGGCAAAAACAAGAATGGTGACAGCTCCTGTAAATCAAGGCTTCGGCTGAATCAATTCAACTGACATCCAAAAAATGGCCACTAGTAGTTCTGCAGCATAGTTGTTGAATTGAAGGGAGCCCCACCCGGTCAGCATCGGCCAATTAAAGCCTTTGAACTGAGTCCCGGCACCCCAAGTGGTCGCAGGCTTGTCTGCGGCAGCTCGCGGGAGGTCACCAAATACCTTGAGCCGCATTTGCCAATGCTGATGCCGCCTTCCTTTGTGGATGTCGACCAAGATGCTTCAGCTTGGAATTCGCTTCAGAGCGGCGCCGCAAACAGTCCTTAGTGAGACTAGCTCAAGGGCACCATGAAGGCAAAAGACAAAAGCTGGAATGTGAGCCATGTGCCGTGTACTTCAGCGCATTGGAACATGTTGCAAGGTTCAAGTAGCAATACGTGAAGGATTTCTTGTGCGTCAACAAAGAGTTCGAAGTCTCCCAATGCCATGGGGTATGGGATGTTCTTACAACCGAACCAAAAGTGAAAACAGCCATTGTACAGGACCCGCGCTTTGAGACACCTTTGGCTAAGGCACCATCGCCCGGTCGTCAAAGCATGTGGAGGATGCGAAAACGATGGTGGAGTCTGACCAGTCCTCCTTGCATCTGCACTCACTAGCCTCCCTCCATGGCATCCCTTGCCGTTGGAGTGTCTCAGACTTTTGGCCCCCAGCACATGCCCCAGCTTCCCAAAATTAAAGAATAACTCAGTTCAAAGACCTGTCATGCTTCCAAGGCCTCTGAAGGGTCGAAGTGCCCTTTATCAAACACTTCAGGGTGGAGCGCGAGGACTCGGTTTGAGTTACCATGGACAGGCATCCTGACATACGTCGCCCTGCACAAGCTCTATCTCTTTGGACTTGGCCATGACCTTGGAGCAGTGTATGCGAACATCTGGGTAAGACATGCGTCGTGTAAGAGGCTTAATGCCAATTGCCATCCAAGCCGCATGTGTACTTTGGAAGTCCTTGATGTGCTGCAAGGCATCTTTGTGCCGCTGCTTCACAAACTCGATCCCGCGTGCTTTTCGCACAGGTGAGTTGGCATACACTTGCAGAACAACATTTCCTGAGAGCCATGGCAATAAAGCCAATATGTAGAATCTCAAACTGTGCTGTGCATCTCACCACCCAAAAGCAGCTGACAGCGGAAGCTCGGGCAAAAGGCTTCCTGACCAAAGATACTCCGCTTGGCTTGTGCTCTACAAATTGATTGTTGAGAATTAGACTTGTAGGAAAATGGATGTGTACTGAGCTTTGTAGTCGAAAGCACTGTGCAAGTGTCCTTTACTTGCGCAGACACACTGTTTGCAGCTAAGTATCCGATTCCTGAACCCAAGTCCGTAAAAACATCAGACTCGTCAATCGAAAGTCGCTGCAGCATCATCCTCACCTGATGAATTCATCTGGACGTAATTGTTGCCAAAAACTAACATGCAATCTAGCAACTACCTGTTTGCAAAGAAATCTTGGTTGCAACACTTTGATTTATCTGTATAGAACCAGATCAAAATGCTTCCAGCCAAGTTCATCAATAGTTCAACGAGCGGATGAAGGATAGTTGGACACCACCTTGCCCACGCCTTACTCTGTGCAAAGCCGTCTGCCAACAAGGCTCCGACTTTGAGGTGATTGTTCCGTAGGCATATGTGATACTCTCTTCACCTTGCAACATCCGGCAGAATGAATGGGTCTGCATGTCATGGGATAGCTCACAAATGTATGTGCACAGCACAACTTCACTTTGGGCATGCATAGAGCAAACCCGTAACCGCACTGCTCCAGCCGTCAGTCACTGTGCCAAGCAACACGTCTGGCACAAAAACTGGCAACGTGCTCGTGCATTGCCCTCGCAAACAAGCCAAGGCACTGAAAGAAAAAAATATGTCTCTTTCCTCCTGCGAGTTGGGGTTGGCAAAGTTTCCTTACATGCCGACTAAAATGGCTGAGCATCTCGCAAATCATAGCACTTGTAGGGAAAAGCCCCTCTCAAGTGTCTCTTTCTAACTACTCAGATCCACAGTGTGATACTATATCACTTTGTAGCCAAGGAGCCAAATATACTTGCCAAGCAGGCATCGTCGCCTTTCCGCTCTGCAATTCAGACACGGGGTCAAGCCCAAATCATTCATGGGCAACAATCGCAGACTACCAGTGCGAAAACGGAGCTTGATGATAAAAGCCTACGGATTCATCTCCAAATGAGGCCACCCGATGGTTGGCTCACCAGTATCCCTTCAAAGTACGACCTAAAAGGTAATCCGCACTATCGGGCCACTGCGCCGTGATTGCTGCAGACAAGCTGCACACCTCTTGTGAAGATGCATATGCTGCATCCTAGGTGCAGCACATGACAGTGTGCAATCTGCAGCCACTGGGCCAGCCCCATACCGAGCGTCTGCAACTGGGCCGAACAGCAGGGCAGAAGACATCAAGTACCGGCGTAGATGTGCCCTGGGCGCTGAAATGCATGTTCCCCTATAACCACAAGACATTCTATGGCTAACCCTGGCATTGGCAACCTGGAGTGCACGTCTATGGCCCATCTCAGGTCAAGTGTGTGGGCAGCTAGCCAATAAATGTCTAATCACTTGGGCACAAGCCAAGCCGCGAATGTGAAGGCGCGGAAAAAGCCCACGCCCAAGATCTTCGCACCATCACCTTTAGCTGGAAATATGAAAGCTGTTCAAGGGCTTGCGGCCCAAGTTACCGGTTCTGTGCTCTGTTAGATGGCTATCTTCTGAAAACGACAAGTCGACCAAGCCAAACTGCCATGTGTGTTTTATGTTTGCGCAGTACACAGCCTGGATTTCATGATTGCAACCCATGTGTTGGTTGCAAAAAGATTGGATTCGTCCCTTTGCAGCAAGGGCCTCGGGGCACACATTCTTCGCAGGAGGAAAGCAAATACCAGAAATGGCTGCATCTCCAAATTGAGTGACAGCAAGTGGAAGCTTCTTTCTTGCCTTGGCAATTGAAACCATACCGAAGAGAGTCCCCAATGATAGGAAGAACGTAAATTAAACAGATGCCTCTACATGTCTAACAGGTGACCATGACATGGATAACCCAGAAAAATACACCTTGGGATCCTTTTCAATTTTGTCAACACGACTTGTCCCTCTGGACTTCGCTGATGTTGCGGTTCGAGTTGCGCAGGCCGCAGCCAGGACCAAAGCCCGCAAGGCTCCTGCTCGAGGGAACTTATGAGGGGTCAAGTGGAACTGGAAACACAAGGAAAAGAGGGGTGAAGTGACACAAGTCCTCCAAACCTGAGATTCAAGGGGTCTACACAAACCCCTGTGCCACACTGGGCCCCAAATCTTCAGCTACCCAGGCTGTTTTGCTTGGTTTTGAACAGTTACAACTACATGGTGAATTGCGGTGTGTTGTCGCTTCAATTTTCAAGCGCAGAAGAGAAGCCAAGTGATCTCTGACAAGCCACAAGAAACCAAATTAGCAGAACCTAAAGAGAATAGTCTGGAGTCTGGTACTGCGGAAAATCGATTCCAATGGCTTATCAGCCCCTGCATGACTTCCCGATTTTGCCAGGCAGGCGTGGGTGTTGCTAATAATGACTCATGTTAGACGAGGGAATGCAAAGAAACACGATCAATCGCACTTCAGCCAGCTTGCAATGAGTCCCTCACGCCCAAAGCATGCAAAAAGGAAGAAGAAATCAGTCTGGCAACTTGCTTCGCCTGAATGTGTGAATTGGGTGTTTTGCAAATGCTCCAAGGCAGCGGCTCCTGCACAGCGCCCAGCCATAACTCCGCACACAATCCTTTGGCTGCGTCACAGCTCGTCACGAAGCAGGAAGGTGGGTTTTATGCTTTGTATGCGGAGCTGGCTCTGCCTTGCCTTTTGCTACTTGCAAATACATGTCTCTCCGTGTGGTTGCACTTTGAGGAAGGAATACAAAACCGCAAGCGTGCAGCTGCGAAGGCCAATGTGAACAGTTTTCTGCAAAGCAGATCTGGTGCACAATAAGGTAAGCTGAGCCGGCATGCAATTAAGCCTTCAAGCCTTTACATATCAAAGGTCATAGCAACAAAACAGAAACAAGAAATCCAACTGATGGGCTGCAACATGCTGGTGCACAATTGCAAAACAGACAGTCAAGGAAGGCAGAGTCAACGTGTCGCCGCCGACGTCTACATGGCATATCATCCAAACAATGCCGGTTGCTCAGCGTGCCCTCGCCAGGCGCAGGGAGTTCTCGCATTTTGTCCAGCTTCATCTTCCCCAGGCTCAAAGCCACGAAACAATTCAGCCTATTGGCTATGATCAGGTGTGTCACCTGCAACCCCACAAAAAGGCATCATGCGAAGAGGTTGCAAATCACTTCGTCAAAACAGGCTAAACGATTGTTCCAACCTTGACCTGAAAGTCTGAGTTTACAACCGCAGAGCCAGATGCCTAGGCCCTAAGGCCAACGACCGGGGTACCCCCTACCCGGAGGCCAGAAACTGATGCCATCTTTCTCCAGCTGACGAAATCTGGCGGTCAGCCCTTGGCTTACGAACTCTTCAACGAAAAAAGATCGCGCAGCTGACGATCGTCCAGGTCTGCAATCCAGCCTTCCTGGCCTCAGCGCACGCACCGCCGAACACACGATGGTGTTCCGTTTGCACACCTTCAAGTGGTTCACTTCACGGAAAGCAAGACAAACATGTGCTGGGCTGCCCCTAGTTAAATACCCCAGGATTGGCTTTCGGGGCAGCACTCTAGTATACTACAGCAAACCAAGGGTTCGCCGAGTTTTCGGAAGAGCCACATCTCAACTGGTATCCCCTGCGAGCTGCAACACGGCATGTGCCCCGGCCTCCTGCCATGGTGAGATCAGAGAGGCGCTGCTTCTGCTCCATGATCTGCCCGAGCCGCTCCTCAAAGGTGTCCTCAAACCGCAGGGGAGTGAGGGAGGGAGAGAGTTGGTTGGGAGTTTCAAAGTTTTAGAAATCCAATGGCTGAAATCAAATTACTCAGATGGGGGAAGCTCGACGTGGTGAATGCTCCTTGCTCACAAGGCGATGCACACACACCGTCTTCTTTTGACCAATGCGGTGAGCTCGATCTGTTGCCTGCCAGGAGCTCCCACATCGCACTTTGTAACCAAACATCGGGACTGTGTGCTGCCTGGTTCTCCTTGGCAGGATTGTACTGCCTGTCAAAGTGGATGACATGCGTCGCTGCCGTGAGGGTTAGGCCCACACCACCGGCCTGGCAGGCAGAGCCCGGCTCAATTGTTTGGGACTGAGCATGCTCTGCTACAAACACAAGCTGCTTATGTTTCCTGAACGTGCTGACGCGTGTGAATTCACAGGCCCGGTTCAAGAGTGTTCAAGTGCAAGCAGTACTTGGCCCGTCATTGAGCGCTTGCACCCGCACCACACATTGAGCCCACAAGCCTGCAGGGAAAGGATGATGAGCGGGCAGGCAGGATTGGTCTGAAAGGCGCTCATCGCAGCCTGACATCAAGCCACTCAAGCCAGACGAGCTCTTGAGAAAAGCGGGGCTCACGCCTCACGCTGCTCCGTGCTCATGCTGCCCACAATTTTCAGCGGCTCGCAATTGAAGCGCCCGCGAATCTGCGCGCAGAGCATGTCGATGGCCACCAGGGAGTTGCTGAAGATCAGCGCCTTCTCGCCAGATTCGAAGATCGTGGTCAACAGCTCCTGCAACTTGGAGCACTTTCCGCTAGCCTCCACCTCCGTCGGCTTCACGTGCACCTGCTCCGGTCGCCGGCTGTCGGCCAGGCAGGCCGGGTGATTGCAAATCTCCCGGAATGCCTGCAGCATCTTCAGGATGTGGCCACATCGCCTGACAGTGGGCCACCTCTTTGAACATGCTTGCTTTGACATACTCTTCATCAAACCTCGTTCGAGTTTCCTTTGAAAGAGCTCCACGGCCAGTTCCCAGGACCAAAACCCGCGGATCGGGTCACCAAGTTTGCCCCCGCCTGAACTTGTCGTCCCGCGACGGAAGGTCCTGAAACGCCTCCTGCGCCTGCAGGTACAGCTTCTGCTGCGCAGTGCTGAGCTCGCACTCGTGCGTCTGCTCGATCTTCGGCGGAAGGTCTCCTGCGAGCATGCACAACGTCCACTGAAGTTCCCAAACCCCAACTTACCGAAACCTGAAAACTCTGAACTCTTAACTGTTGAGCCTGGCAAACACCTGAAACCCTCTGATCTCAACCAAGCCGGTCATCAAATGCAGGATTCGGAGCGAACATCTTCAAAGCTGCTTATTGTGGAACTAAGGTCATGTTGTTCCATGTTGGTACGGTTGATTGAATTTCATTTTGTTGAACCCTGCCTGCGACCTTGGGATCCGTCTTGCTGCGTCGCAGGATGAAGGGCGCGACAATGCGTCGGAGCAGGGTCTGTTGCTCGAAGTAGGCAGGGTGTTGAGCTCCCTTGGCCACAGCCGCAAGCGGCTTCCCGAAATCCTTCTCGAACTCCTGCCGGGAAGAAGCCAGATACCCTGGGAGGATGAACTCAAACTGGCTGTGCAGGTCCGCCATGCGATTCTCTACTGGGGTACCAGTCAATGCCACCCGCACTGGACCGACCTGCTCTGCGACCATCTTCACTGCTTTCGAAATTTGTGAATTGTAATTCTTGATCTGCTGCGCTTCGTCCAGGATCATTCCACCGAATGTGTCGGGGCAGGCCAGCCGCGCAGCATCTGAGCGGCACACCCCGTAGGATGTCAGGAACACATCCGCCGTGGACACGGCCGCTGCCGCCTTGCGCTTCCTTGGCTTTGGCGCTGGCAACTCTGGCTCCGGCTGCTTGCCCCTGGCACGGCGGCGCAAGGGCTCAGGGACAGCAGGCGCCGCCATGTGCGGGAGGCATCGCTTATTTCCGAAATACACGTGCACCGAGAGCTCGTCGCCCGCCCAATGTGCCAGCTCACGCGACCAGGTCGTGAGCACGCCCTTGGGAACCACCACGAGCATGGGCCGCTCCAACAGGCCGTTCTGCTTCATGTAGAGAAGGAGCGAGATGGCCTGCAGAGTCTTGCCCAGGCCCATGTCATCTGCCAAGATGCACCCCAGGCCGTTCCGTGCGTTGTTCACCAGCCAATGGTAGCCTGTGAGCTGGTAGGGTCTCAGGCACCCCGCCAGCCGCTCAGGAGGCGGAACCTCCTTGGCGCGGATGATGCCCATCTCAGGGCCATCGAAGAACTCCTGGATCCGTGCATCCAGTATGACCTTAGAGCACAGCTCCCTTTCATTTCCCCAAAGGCACCCACATCCTCGGCTGAAATTGGCAATTCAACTCGCAACGCTGTGCTGTGCGCGTCTCGCCCTCACTGGGCCTGCGGCTTCCTCCAGGGCGCCAAGCGCTGCTCTCAGCAGGGCCACGCTGGCCAAGGGCCTCGGGGGCTCCGCCTTGATGTGCTTCAGGATGCTCTTGGCCACGCTGCGTGTCACCACCAAGCCACTCTTCCCGTTCTTCCCGTTCTTCCCGTTCTTGGCCTTCCGCTTGGCAGAGATGATGTGAGCACCAGGAAAGCGGTTTTGCACCACAGAGCGCGCCAGGCCTCGGCAGTCTGCCAGTGGCAGTAGGCTGGTGGTCTCCTCCTTGACACCCACTGCCCACTCAAGGTCCACGTGCTTGGCGATGTCGCGCCATGACTTGGGCAACACTTTGCCCTTGAACTTTACACCCTTCACTAGCTGAATCGGAACTGCTCCTTTCGTGGCCTTGGTCAAAGCCTCAGCAACCAATCACAGGTCTCCCGCCCACATCTCTCTGACCTCCCTCTCTGTCTCTCTCCTGCCTCTCTTTCCTCTCACTTCTTTTCGCCCTCTCCCCCCGCGCTCTCTCTCTCTCTCTCTCTCCGCTTGATCTTTGGGCAGCCCAGCAGAGGTGGCGCTCCGAAGTGACTTCTCAAATTGCGGACTTTGCCCCAAGAGCCCAAAGAAGCGCTCGCCGCTGGCAGCTGCAGTGGCCCGCGCCCCATCCAGCGCCGCCTCTGCAGTCGCCAGCGTGCCCCGCACACGCTCGGCCTGCCGCTCCCACCACGCCTGGGCGACAGACAGGTGCGACGTCTGAAAATGGCGCGCTGTGCAGTGGGTTGCTGCTGCGAAGGGAGCATCAGCCCTCTATTTGCAGTTGCCATTACTGCAATGCATGGTTCTTTCCTCCACTGTACAGATGCACTGAAGCAATGGTTTGCCAGTGTTTAGCAGGGCAAGATTTGAGGGCAAAACGCTTTCCTGTTTTCGTAAACCCGACCTGCTCTGAAGTCAAATCAGCTGCAGCCGCGCACTGGGGGGTCTGCTGAAAGTTCGATCCAGTGAACAGCACTTTCAGACCTCCTGGACACTGGGTGCAGAGGCCGTCTACGATGCCTGGCAGGGCTATGTGTACGTGTATTTGCAGGTGTCTGTCCGACAACTGGCATGGCGGACTGTTGCAATCAAAACTGCTGATGCAGCAAATCCAGCTTGCCCGGCAAAGGCTTGAGCTGAATCATCACTGCACGTAGGAGTCCGAACAAAAATGAACACACAGCCACAAGTCTAATGGCAGGAAGGGGCCAAAGTAATCCGAAAGGGTTTAGGCAGGCTGCGCCTGGGCGGCCTTGCTGGTCACGAACTCGCGCTCGGCGCTTGAAGCCCAAAAGCTCTTCAGAACCTTCGTCGGATCCAGCATCTGGCTGGGTTTGGTCCTTGAGCTGAATGCAGTTGTGAGGAATTACGTAGATTCTCCCATCATTGAATCGCACCTGCGAGGAAGTGTTGGATTGCCTTTGAGTGACAACGCCTTCAGCTGGCTGAGGGAGGGGAAGACCAAGAAAGCCACCGACGAGCACCCGGTCGTCTTTCATGGGGCAGGCGCGCAAAGAATCCGCTCGCACCCAAAGTTGAACGTCGTAGCACTTAATTTGGCACTCATCCCCGCTGATGCTCTCAACTTGCCATTCTGAGTCGGCGAAGTGGAACAAATGAACGAGATGGCCTGGCTTAATGAAAACTCGCTGACCAACTCGGAAATGGTGCGACGGCGTCATTGCCTGAGCGACAGAACTCTGATCCACCTCCCATCCCTGGCTGCTTCAGACCGTCCTGCTACCAAATGGCTAAATCACTTTGGGAATCACTGACTCTGTGCGTTCATCATGCCCCAAAGGAGGGAAATGGAACTTTTGACTCGGCACGTCGATGTGAAGCAAAGCCATTGGCCAAGCTTGTCAACAACTCGGGCCAGGCGTCTGTCGGGTGGGCCTGCGCCTGCTGCGCCTGGGCGGGGCTCCCAATGAAACACCAAGCTGTTCTAACAACTTAAAACCATCCCAAAATCGAAAGTACCAATGGCTCCCCTCCGCGCCTTGCCCTCCGCCGAGGACAACTCCGAGCAGGCGACGTCCCGCTGGCGCTGGCTGCTCATCAGCCGAGCATCTGCGTGACACTTGTGCTGCTGCGCCTGAGGGCTTCAGGAACAGGCGAAACGCGCGTAAGCTGCGCAAAAGACTTGGAGTTCCTTTGTGGAATCAGGCCCAAGGAGCGAAACCCTGAGACAGGCTTGGGGGGTCCAACATCCTCCAACATACTCGAAAACCTTAAGAAGGTTCATGTTGGATGCATGCAGGCACCGCACCTGCTCAATTTCTGCATGGTGTTTGCTCAACACCTCTGTCGCTTTGCACTTCTTGGCGGTCAGGTTTGTGACGTCCTGAACAGCATGGCTGGAGCCGAACCTAAATCTGGCAGCATTACGTGACAGCCAGACCTGGAACCACAACGGCAATCGAAAAAAATGTATCACGCTCACTCCATCCACTTTCCTCAAAGTAGCAAATTGGACCTCACAAAGCCACTATAATGATGATTGTAACCGGCCTCAAAATGAATCTCCCACCACCACACGACACCTGAGAACACCCGTGTCACGTCCTTCAACGCAGATCCGCGCTTGGATACATCTTCAGCCTCGCTCTCGGACATGTCAGGTTCGGAAGACTCCTCCTCGCTTTCGAACGGGATTCCGGTCGTGTCATCCTCGCCGAAAAGGTCATCCTCGCCGAAAAGGCCATCTTCCTCCAAAAGGAACATGAGCACCTTCTTGCACCAAATGGGATGACAACTTGCCTAGAAGCCTGCAGAGCCTGAATCTGCTGCGCTACACACACAAACCAGTTGGTTCTACAAACCTGTCAATAGAAATACGCAGATGAACACTATCGTGATTATCACAAGTATCATAATCATCAACAACAATCACAGCCGTCCTCGTCTTCGTCCTCTTCCTTGACCTCGTCCTCGCCTTCGTCATCATCATTGTCATCATTGTCATCATTGTCATCATCATCATCATCATCATCATCATCAGCAGCATTGTTGCCATCGTAATCGTCGTCATCATCATCACCACCATCCTCATCGTCGTCATCAGCATCGTCATCATCATCCTCATACGTCCCTTCAAGATTTCCACTTGTGCATGAATTGATCTTCCCATGCAAAACAACAAGGCTTGCCGGCGCCGACCAATGTTAGCACAAACAACACGTGAACTAGCAAAGTGACCTGCACGCCAGCGATCAACTTGATTTCCTTGAAGCACCCATCAAATCAGAACAAATCTGCAATCACTTGCAGCCACCCAACCTGAGACAGAAGATTTGAAGGTTCCTTGTCCAGGTTCGCGTCCGCTTCCTTATTTTTGGGGCAAACTGCAGCTTGAGTTGTCAAACGTGCAAAAGACGCTGCAGTACCTCCATACAGAAATCTACCACAATCTCTCTTTATACATTCCTTCCTGCTCGCTTTTCTCCTCAAATCTACTGAATCATGCCATCGCTACACGCCACTCCAGGAAAGGAATTAACCGCGGAAAATTTGAGAGCGTTTTGCTGGTTGTTTTGAAGCAAGCGATTGTAACACAGTAGTTTTAATCTGTCGGCAGCAGCAAACGCGGATGCGCTCCTTTCTTCGGTTGCACATGTGTGTCGAGCTGGGTAAATTGCAGGCTTTAGCTCAAAGAAAGCTGTTCACTGGTGCTAAAATCAGATGCTACTGGCATTTGACCCAAACAAGCAAAAAAAAGATAACACTAGATTGCTTCCTTTGGGTTGAAAGTGAAAAACAAAAACAAAAAAGAAAAGTACACCGCAGTTGGCTGTAAGCGTTATTTGCAGCATTCCATTGTTTCGCCAATTGAGCCATGCTGCACCTTCAAAAAAAACGCCATCCACCTGTTGAAATTTGCTTAGGCACCCTTTTTGCCGGTCCGGCTGCATCTTGGTCCAAAAATTGATTTTGCCTTGTCACAAGACTTTGGCCCTACAACCTTCCAAACATTTTGAGCAGCACAAACATGGCGTTGAGCAGAACAAATCCATGTTCAGCATAATTGGCATTTTGAAGTTGCTTTGCTTTTTGTGCATATTCATTGCATACTTTCGCACAATCTGTTTTGGCATGATTGTGACAAGGTAGAAGGGAAAATTCTAGTATCGATTCCAACCATTAAATACCTTTTTGTGCTTTTAGTCGACTATTGACTTGCTAAGGCCCAATAACAAATCCATCAATGGAATTTGCCAAATGCGTTCCAAGTGTTTATAATACGCAAATATGCCGGTTTAAAAGGTTTTTTGTTTCCGCGTGCCTTCTACCGCACAGTCGCCGGTTGACAACTTGGAAAGCGAAGCAAGCAACCCCAGTGAAGGAAGGACCAACGCAAACAAGCAGTCCAAGCTTTATAAAATCAAAGACTTAAACCAGGCAGAAAACGGAAGCTAAGAGAAAAAAACAGGTTTTTAATCTAATCACATTCTGCGGCCGTCCAACAAAGGTGCCGGAGGCAGCGCTAACGTACAGAAGGCTGCCCAGGTACCGACAGCCAAAAGTGGCGCTTAGAGTTACGGAGCCTTCCACCTAAAACCTGGAGCGCACCAAAAAATTGCTTAGCGTGGTAGTGGACTCTAGCAGACCTTACAAACTTCTCCGTGGTGCCTGGGCTTCAAATTCGCTTGTTTTCCGTCGAAATCGGGCTCCAGACGTTCGCCGTGCTCCGGATTCCGCTTTCTGCTTGGAAAAGCCTGCAAATTCCAGCCCGCTGAGCTTGTCACCGTTCGTCTTTTCTTTGTCACCGCTCGCTTTTTGGTCGCAAAAGTGCGCAAAAGCGGCCCCCAGTTCCGGAGTTCTCCGCAGGGTTTTCCGCGGTCCGACAGCCCGCCGAGGACCTGCTCGGAGTCCGGCCGCCGAGGTGGTCCGTCAGCCCGCCGAGGTGGTCCGTCAGCCCGCCGAGCTTGTCACCAATGATGTCACCGCTCCGTCCGGCTCCGTTTTTGGCGCAAAAAGCGCTTAAAACGACCGAGTCCGAAGAGTCCGTTTTTCGTGTCAGACTGTAAGTGGGATGCCTAAGCCTCCAAATTCGCTCGTTTTCGGTCGAAAGCAGGCTCCAGACGGTCACTTTGCTCAGGATTCCGCTTTCGACCCGGAAAACCGGCGAATTCCAGCCCGCCGAGCTTGTCACCGTTCGTCACTGCTTTGTCACCGCCTCGTCACCGCTCTCTTTGGGGCCGAAAAGTGCGCAAAAGCACCCCAGTTCCCGAGAGGACTCGGTTCTTGGCAAGTTTGAGTCATTAATGGAACGCAAGGTTGGCTCATGAATGGGCAAGGTTGGCTCATGAATGGGCAAGGTTGGCTCATGAATGCCCCGCAGGTCATAACCACTGAGACAAGTGTCCTATAAAACTATGCACACAATGCATAGCTTCACCGGTCAATTCGTCATGAGGCCGAGGTGTCCCAAGCGTTTTGACCGACACCATCGGTCACTTCATCAGAGGTCTCATAAGTGAAGGATACTTTCCCTCACTTCATGTACTGGTAGCACGGGGGTGATATATAATTGTACCGCCCAGCGCTACGAAGGCCCCGAATGACCCATAGCGACTCAAGGGAGGGCGTGTTGCGAAAGTACAACACCCCTACGATACAAGTACGTAGCGACTACTCCTAAGAAAACATGTTTGAAGGACCTGTCACGGGCAACATCCCGGAGGTCCTGGACAACGGAGAGGTAACTGACGGCACGCGCGTCACCGCAGGGCAGCTGGCCCTCGCTCTGACGCCCTACGCCCAAGTAACTGACCTGGCGGTGAACACGGCAGCCTCCGGCAACAACGCGGCGGCCATCCAGTCCCTGGACGACCGAGTCACCGCCGAGCTGGCCTCAAAGCTGGACAGCAGCGCGCTGGCGCCGGCAATCGCGCCCCTGGCCACGGCGGCGGCCCTGGCCACCACGGACGGACAGGTGGCCGCGCACGGAAGCAGCATCGCCGCGCTGCAGAGCTCGCTGACCGCGGGTCTCTCCAACAAGGCAGACCAGTCGGCCTTCGACGTGCTGGAGGGCGTGGTGGCCACGAAGAGCACCCCGGACAGCGTGGACCTGAAGCTGTCCAACTACAGCACCACGGCGGCCATGAACGGCTCCATCGCCTCGGCCAACAACGCCACGCTGGCCACGGCGGCGGCCAACTACGGCCTCAAGACGCACTCCCTAGACATAGCGGCGAGGATCACGCCGCTGGAGGTCGACACCAAGGTGGCCAACACTCTCCTGGGAGCCGTCACCGCCTCCGAGCTTGCGAGTCAAGACGCCTCCATCTCGGGGCTGCAGGCCTCCAAGGCGGACGCCAGCGCCCTGACTGCGTACGCTCTGCTCTCGGAGGTGGACTCTAAGCTAGCGGCGGCCCTCCTGTAAGCAGTCACCCGGCAGCCCTGAACATTCTCGGCAAGGCGGACGCAAGCGCGCTGGCCTCTCTGCTCTCCAATGGCGGGTTGGACACGCACGATAGCAAATGTCCTGCTGGGTCTCACCACCGAGCCTTCGTCGCAGCTAGCCGCGACGCCAGCATCACGGCGCTCCAGGGGGCAAGGCCGACGCGACGCTGCTGGCCTTGTACGCCACGAATGCCGCGCTCTCGGCCAGCGAGACCACGCTGCAGAGCGCCCTCGACGCAATCCTCGCGGAGCTTGCCGCCCTGCAGCTTTCCGGCAGCGGCGGAGTTGTTAACGCGCCGGCCTGGGCGGGCTTCACAACTTGGGAGCTTGTTCGCGGAAGCAACGTCGTTCGCAACCTGCATCTGGAGGCTCCTCTCTCTGCTGCGCTGGCCAACGGCGACGACTCGCGGCAGACTCCACTCATCGCAGCGGCGGACGCGGCCCCGCGCTGCGCTGCTGCCAATTACACCTCTCACAAGTGGACGCGCTGTTGGGAGACTACCGAACAGGAACGGCGAAGGACACGCAGACGCAGGCCGCCATCACAGCCGCGCTGCTGGCCTTACACCTTGGTGGGTAGACGCCCTGTTAGAAGACTAGGTGCGCACGATGTTCCAGGGGTTTACCGCCAGGGTCAGGGTGTAGCCGTCCACGCACGAGCTCTCTATGGCGGCCACCACCTTGTCCTCT